CTCTGTCACTCTAAAGTAACGTACGTGGTAAAATTTAACAGCACTGGGGAAAAAAGAGGAGAGATAACTGCACTGTGTACTATTTTTGGCTCGTGAATGAAGTTCAGCAGTAGATATCTTTCCATTGCATGAAATGGCATAACCTTTGGAGTTCATTCTATTTACCATTAACATGTCTGGGGAGTGTCTTCGCTCATTTTGGCTGATACAAACAAAAAACGAAGCTCCCAGCTGTTGGTAAAAGAATACCTTACATCAGCATCAGGGGAACCTTAAAACTCTTTAAAGTCATTTTCTCGATTCATTTTAATTACATACAAAGTCTTTCCCAGACTTCTATTCTGAATTTCTATAAAGTTGCGAACACCAGAACTTTTCTGCTCTCCGGCATAACAATAATTCATGGAAGATTAAACTTTAAAGGGTCCCACAATATTTATGTTAACTAACTTACTTCAAGAAGAACATTCTTCATATTTGTCCCCATACAGTGCATTGGGATAACAAATAGGAAACTTATCTCTCGTTACCGAATATACAATCAGCATTGCTGAACGGAGAGTACAACAGAACCAATGATATTGACGTATGTCCTGTTCCACTTGAACCACAAAAGGGAATTTTCAAACGTCATCCGTTGTTTTACTCCAGGGATTTTCTCAGTAACGCAAGTACTACTAGTAGTTTAAAAAAAGGTAAAGTATGTTTGCTCCATACTCCTGTCTTGAGTCGCACAATAGATTCTGAGGAAACAACATTAAAGAAGACAAAAATGAGTCTCCAGCCATCCAGAGTTGGTTCCATTCTCAGGCAAATCTTGCTGGTTTGGCTAATTTTGATGGCAATGTCAGCAAGAAGTGCAGAGGCAAAATGTGCTTTTAAGGCTATCTTCAATTTTGGAGATTCAAACTCTGATACTGGAGGTTTTTGGGCTGCCTTTCCAGCTCAGAGTCCCCCTTTCGGAATGACTTACTTCAAGAGACCAGTTGGTCGGGCTACTGATGGCAGGCTCATTATTGATTTCCTGGGTAATTTACTTACTTTTCAACTGCTTTTGATTCTCTCCCTGCTCTGGAATTCACCATAATTTCACAATGCAAGCATGCAGGTTGTGGGATAAGCTTAATACTTGAGCTTTAATAGTGCTTGATGGTTGTAATTGGTTCTTGGTAATAATGTACTGCTGCATCTCCGTGATATATCAGTACAGTTTAAGCTTTCCTGAAGTTCTTCTTCTTCCTCCTCCTCCTCCTCCTTTGTGGTTTACTCACTCTTTTCCTCTTCTTCCTAGTGCCACCGACCATTCATGTTAGTAAAGTAGTTGTCTGGAGAAAGATGCAAGTATATGGCTCCAAAATATTCAGCAAGCTGATAACAGAATTCTGGAAGGAATTTTTATCTTCAGAGGACGTGTGAAATTATTTAGTTTCAGATGTATAAAACAGAAAAGAACAGTACTTGTAAGCTCTTTGTTCATAATTTAGTGGTGTCGGTCGATCTATTACAGAGTCGGACAAAAAGGCCAAAGCTGTAGCTGGAAAGAGATGGGGTTTAATCATTAGTGTACTATTCTGAGAGTCTATAACGACGTATCTAATTTCTTATCCTGAATCTCATGCAGCGCATTTTTCTTTCGGATTTTGGCATGACTTGAATTACTCAAACTGTAAAGGCTCAGTTCTCAGTTCTCACCTTCCACAAAAATCTTGGGTCGCCCCACTTTTGTGCTATCTTGTCATCATACCCGCTGACTTCTGGGGTTTCATTACTGCTGCCTTAAACTTCTTTGGACTAAAGGAGATATTGAACTGATTTTTGCAGCCAATGAGCTGTTTTTGGAAATCATGGCTGTAAGAGATTTCAAAAATTTCAGTCAACATTGTCCATAGATGTTAATTTCTAGATAATATCCTAAGAAGTAATGTGAGATTTTAAGTATGCATATTTTCGTTCTTTCCAAAAAGTTATGTTTAACCTCTTGTATCAATAGCTAGGAGATTTAATCATAATTAACCAATGCTGTATTCTTATTGCTTGGACAATTGACATACAGCACAAGCATTAGGCCAGCCATTTCTGAGCCCATATCTGCAATCAATAGGATCTGATTTCAGACATGGTGCCAACTTTGCGACATTGGCATCCACAGTGCTCCTGCCAAATACTTCCTTGTTTGTTACAGGAATCAGCCCCTTTTCTCTGGCCATTCAGCTCAATCAAATGAAGCAATTTAAGGTTGAAGTTGAAAAACATCACAGGACTCACGCCAAAGGTAAATGCCAGGGAGTAATGGGATAGAGTTCTTATGTATTGTTCTTTGGAGTATTATACGGGTGTTTATTGCAATGTCCTTGTTGAACTGCCTCAGCTGAATTGGAGGAGATGATATCAACGTTAGTTAATGTTGTTAAGTACTGTAAAATTATCAACACTACTGATTTTCTAGTTTCTCCTCACTTGAATCTGGCTTGTTACAGGAGCCAAACTTCCTGCACCTAGCATATTTGGAAAATCTCTTTATACGTTCTATATTGGCCAGAACGACTTCACCTCTAATTTGGTATCTCTTGGTATAAGCGGAGTAAAACAATTTCTGCCTCAGGTGGTTTCCCAGATTGCTTATACAATCAAGGTAATTGCATGCATTTTAAGCATCTCATAAGTAGCAACGTTTTAAGTCCGTGGAATTTGCATAAAAAGTACCATTGCTGTTGTGGGGTTACCTTAAGAATTTCATCAAGGAAAAGGTAGTCGGTACATTTTTCCTCCCATGGATGTTTAGGCAGGTTATTTAGTCATTATTCACACTAGTTGGGTTGATATTTAACCCCCTTGCTTTATCGAACTTCCAGGATCTTTATTCCTTAGGGGGGCGAACATTTTTAGTTCTGAACCTTGCTCCTGTAGGGTGCTATCCAGCACTTCTAGTGGAGCTTCCTCACAACAGTACTGATGTTGATGAATTTGGATGCTTGATTTCTTACAACAATGCTGTTGTGGACTACAACAATATGCTAAAGGAAGCACTGACAAATATTAGGAAAGATCTTCCAAAAGCATCTGTCGTGTATGTGGATACTCATGCAGTACTGCTAGAGCTCTTTCAGCACCCCAAATCTCACGGTATATAAACTTGATTGAATTTAAGCATTGTGGTCATGCATCAAATGCAAATGATCCAAGGTTCTGCTTAATTTCCTTTATGGTTCATTTACTTTCAGGACTAAAGTATGGCACGAAAGCATGTTGTGGATATGGGGGAGGTGCTCAAAACTTTAACCAACAAGTTTACTGTGGAAACAACAAACTGATCAATGGACACAACGTTACTGCTACTGCATGTAGCGATCCACAAAATTATGTCAGCTGGGATGGAATCCATGCAACAGAAGCTGCAAACAAGCTCACTGCTCATGCAATTTTAAATGGTTCTTACTCTGATCCTCCTTTTCCACTCCACAAGTTCTGCGATATTCAGCCTATAGGTTGATCAGTGCCTCTTGTACTCAAACGCAACGAAGAATAAACAATCCAATCCTTATTCTGAGAACAGAATACTGATCAAGCTTTATGATTTGAAATTCTGTGGTTGATACAACTGCATTATTAAGCAGATTTCTTCATCACTTCCACTACCTCACCCCCAATTGCAACCTTTATTAAAAAGATATTTAATTGACTTGAGATCATTGCCATGATAGACTTTTGTTAACCCTTGTCCTCGTAAATGTAAAGCACATCAGATTGAGTGCTCAACTCGTGTCAAAAGGACTTAAAGAACACTGACTCATTCGCATTGTCTAAGATTGCATGATGGCCCTGATCTGGAGGGGGCCAGGTCAGTTTTCTAGTTGCACAAGTAGAACAACATACTGTAAAGTGTAAATAGTGAAAGGTTAATACAGGAGGACAATAATGTGCATCAACTAGATTCTCTTAAAGGTTTTTCTCTCTCAAGATCTTGATAGAGAGAGAGCTATGCTGGAAAATCCCAGCCACATAGCATCTACAGAAATGACACCTGTAAAATAACTTGAATCTTGAAAGTGTAATTAGGTCTATGAGCCGATATGTTTGCTTATGACATAAAAGACTTGCATGTCTTCTAATCAGTACATTAGGCATGAAAAGTTGATCTATTTGGCCTTGAGCAGTTCAATTTCCTAATGAAGGAAGCAGCATATGTTAGAAGATATTTCCCATTAGCCATTAGCATACAACTAATTATTTGCTTACAAGAGGCCAATGCCGTCCACACCCCATGAAAATGCACAACTGCATAAGGCAAACGTTTTGACGAGATGACTTTAATGTTCATGATTGAAGCAATCATTTCCAGCCTGGGTGATTAGATTGTCTCTTATGGAGATTACTTAGATGAGTTACTTTCTATCAAAAGCTTCAATGCACATATATGATATTATCTACATTCTTTTACATCAATGAAAAGGACTGCAGCTTGTTTATGTGGTGAAATAAGCTATGATCAATGATCATACTTCAGTTGATAGTTTGAGCTGGGAATCTTCTCATATTTATTCATGTTGTCTTTGTATCTTTTCTTAGAGAAAGCAATGGCGTAACTACCATATTGGCCGATGGATGAAGACATGAAAATTGATGAGACAATTATCAGTACAAGCCAATAAGCTGTGACGCCCCATTGGCTGCTTAAGTTTTCTAGTCAATTAGGTATCATCATTGATTTAACAAGACAATCATGCTTTATTTCTCTTAAACAAAGTATGTAAAGGTGGACTCTAACCCCAATCCTTGACAACGGCCGCAATGTCTATTATATTATGATCCCGACTAAGGGCGAAGTCATGCTTAACAATGATGCTGAAACAAACTTCTGAACTAGAATTTGAGCAAGAACATATATCCACCCCTGATGAATTCTATCAACAAATGAACATCCACTTCTAAAAAATGACATGATGAAACCAGTGAGAAAATTGACCAAAAAAAAAAGGGACAAAATGATACAAGAAAATCTTTCATGGTACATAGCTATTCTCAATGACTGGTTGGGTTCTGATACCCGTAGCTGAAGGCATTCTACTTGGTCCAACCCAAATTGTACCTAAAACCTCACTTTTTTCCGACTGTCTTTCCATCTTTGCGATTCTCTTCTTCCTAATCAATTTGTACAAAAGAATCACAGACATAACCAACAAAATCAATCCACCAATTCCTACTCCAAATCCTATAACCCACCATTTCCAGTCCCTTTCTTTGCTCTTGTTTGATGGTGACGGCACTGGTGGCTGCAGTGGCTGAGATGGAATGACAATGGAGAAATGGCCTTGACCCATTGCAATACACTTATTTGCCATGGTCAAATTGCTAAACTCCACTTCCCCATTGGTGCCAAATCTGACACATTTCATTGCGGTTATATTCGTATCACCTACCCCTGAGACCAGAGGAAAATGGACCAAAATAGGATCCCTGGTGATGTTAAACTTAACCATTCTGCTGGTATTTGTATCATAAGCTAATAAGCCAATGACAGGAGTGACAAATGTATGATTTGGGACACTATAATAGAAACCTGACAAATTCCCAAGGTTTTGATAGACAATTAGTAGTCTCCTGGAAAAGGGGTGCGGCAATGTCCTAGGTGGGATGTCAAAGAAACTGAAATTGGCTCCTCTTAGCCATAACCTCGCGGTTCTGAGACGAACAACAGAAACTTGTATACCAGAGTAATTTGCAGGTAGAGAAATATTATACAGAATACCTGTACGCATCCTTCTCATCGCCTTCAATGCATAATCATGAACAAAAGAATCTAAAGAATCACGGTTGAGGCTACTCTGCCCTTGAACATAGGGCAGCAATAACATGTAACACATCACCCAGATGAGGTGCCAAATTTTCTTAGACCCCATCAAACATCACCCGCGGGATGGCCGCTTCATGCCATAGATCATCTAGAATTCACGTGAAGTCTTCCAAGAAATCACTGAAAAACAGGCTGAAAAGAGTGGAAAAACTCACAAACATCAATATGATTAACGCTGTAGCCTTCTCATGATCTCATCAGAATTCCTTTCTTGATATATTCGCAATGCCAAAGGCTGGTCAGGGCAAGGCGTTACGCGCCTGAAGCAGGTGTTAAAGAGGATGGTCGGAAAATTTAGTAACACACTAGTATACGAGATAACAAAAGATGAGAAAGGGATCAACATTAACAGCTGGGAATGTTTCAAACACTGGTGGTTAAGAAAGTGTCCATCTCGATCCCCTTGGCATTGCATGAAACGAAGATGGATATGAGATGTATGATTGAAAGTGGAAGCTGGCTATAGAAATACTGATGAATGAAATCTTTGATGATTAGAGGGACTATTGGGTGGTGGTGGTGGTTGCATTCTTCTTCTTCTTAGTGTAGGAAGAGTTGGGGTGGGGTGCAATCTGATGAAAACTCAAATGTGGCAGCACCTCAAAAGAGGAAAAAAAGGGGACCCTTTTGAGTTGTTTGATGGCGTTAACTAAATTGTTTAATCAAAATGCTGTTGGTTGGATTAGTTGGACTATTAGAAGCTGTGCGTATATACACACTCACTCGTATGTACGTTTGTGTAACACAGATGTAATAGGAAAAATTAGGTAAGAGGACAGACGGTGCCAACGAGGTGCTAACTTTTTAAGGTTGGGGGATAAACATGAACTGGCCGGGGGATGACCGAGCCGTGCGCTCCAAAATGCGCATAAATTGCTCAGTTTAGGGGCAGCTGGTGGCTGGCTGGTGGATTGAAGAGTTCCTTTTTGGCGTTTTTCTTTTCGGCATAATGCGTTGCATGGGAATGGGATTTTGGGTTTTTTTATGGGTGTGGGTCGGTTTGTTTATAGTTTACACTAAATTAATTAGCCCACTTCATTCTCGCCACAACAGCAGGGAATTAATATTTGCAAGTCACGACTCTTTACCTACAGCCTACAGGACAGGAGGGAACCAAAATAATTTTTTTAAAAAAAAAAAAGAAAAAAGGTCATAAGTCATCATGTCTCTTTTAATTTAAAGATATGAGACCTTTTTTTTCTTTATTTATTTACTTATTTTTTTAGCACACTTAAGAGCGATCTTTATCGAGGCAGTCAGCCTCCAAACTCACAGAAAAGCCTTGTGGGATGCAGTTGTACTTATACCTCACAAGTAAGAAGAAGATAAGTAGTAGGTATCGTGCAATCTGCATATTCCGCAGTTATTCACTTTGGCTTTTACCTTTTGTGCTCAGAGTAACAGGCGTATATACGCTTTGATAAATCAGTATGTATTTATTTTTTCTTTTCACTTAAGGGTTTTCCGGCCTTTCGTTCAAGACTAATCTCTTAAAACTATGTAGAGTCTTGTCTCAAGAATACACAGCGAGACAGCACACGGGGGTCAATTACGAGATTTGCTGGTAACTACCAGACTACGGAACCACTCGGACTCGAACTAGCCGTGCGGGGCATAAATCAGTATGTATTTAATTGGTACTACTAGTTTTTATGGTAACAACTACCAATTTAAATGGTTATGTTTCCATAATATATACACACGGCTTTTAATTTCCGCTCTCTACTAGGATACTTCAAGAACTACTCCTTTACAAATACTATATACCAGAAATATATAGTGATGTATAAGCTCTTTTACTGCGTGGATCCTGTTTGGTTTGGACAAGCATAATATATACTACTGTTCTAGCATAGCAATTGACCAGTATTCCTCAAGAAGGAAAAAAAGAAAGAAAGAATCACATGATGAACCACATATATGCAATTCTACATGTTTGTATCTTTGCGGGAATAAAAAATGATGATCATCAAAAGGAGTAATTTCTAATAGCTATTTAGTGATGACAGCTATATATACACCCCATATATACTCTAGATGAGATCTTCCATATGGACTTTAAATTAGTGTCTGTCTGCAGCTGCTTTTTTACTCCCTTCTCTTTGGTGTAAATTTTCTCATCTAATATATACATATACATATACATATATATATATTTTGCCAGCCGTCTCGATTGAGACCCACCATCTAATCTAAAATGTACATACACCTGGAAGGTTTCGTCACTTGGTTGAAAACCAAAATCCACTGAGCTGAGTCAACTCATTTCGGACAAAACCAAAAGGAGGATCAAGATTCTTCCTTCCAATCAAGTTTTTCCTCTGCATGCATGAACGCCCAAGGCTGAATTCCCTTTATTTGTTTCTTCGATTCATTTTTTGCCGGAGCAACAGTGGATGGACAAGAGATGTACAGCAATTTGGTTTTCAACGTATTGTACGTGCCTGCCTGCAGATTTTGTTTCTTTGTACGTAGTTCAATAAATAAATCTACTAGTTTTACTTAATACTACGAGTTATAAATAGTTTAGTCACCTATCCCGACGTACTCTAGTCGAGCTCACATATAGTTGATTAAAATTGATTCTTTTACACATCAATATACTTACTTCTACATTTCTGAGGTTGAATATTTTTGTTTCTTCATGCTTGTAAAATTATAGGGAAAATTTGTGAAATGACAGTAGGAAGATTCATTATTCATTATTTGAGGCATAGGTTAATGTTCACACATTTGTATGCGTATATGTGAACATCTGCATTTTTTTGCGGCTCGGGAGAGGAGGCCCCACTCCACATCGAACACATTAACAGCGGGACTAACTACGAAGGTCGCTATACCCTAAGGAGGGGGAGCGGACCGTTCGAGCTACCCCATGGGAACAAAGACCAGCCACGTAGAATGGCAAGTTGTGGGAGGCAGGGGTTGAATCCCTGACCTCCAGCATCCCCAAAGAAGGGGATGACCACCAGACCAAATGGCCAGTGGCTTGAACATATGCATGGGGGGCACGTATATTAGTTCAAATCTGCACATTGGTATGTACATCTAATCCACCAAAATTTACATCTATATTCATTACATTCATTGGTGTGCATATGCCTATGCTCATCATATATATGTGCGTATTCCTATTTGAATATGTGCACATATCAACTGACAAGTTTACATTTGAATCTCTACTTATTTTTATTTTTTTTATTCGAATCTATACGTATTTTCGTAAAAGTGCATATGTTTTATTTATTAAGGTACATATATATTATACTAGGGTATTTTAGTTATTTGGCAATAAATTTATTAGTTATTTTACTTTGCTAGAAATAATCCATGTCCTATCTACAAATTTCCTAAAACTTGTTGCACCCTCCTATGAATTTTAAATCTGTACAATTGGCCTTTACATGTGCCAATTGTTAAATGGAGCGATGACGACAAGAGTAATAAAATACCCGGTTGGAGATGGGCATGGCATGGTGCAATGTTATTAGGTGATAACAAATGTACTGTAGACTATAAAAACCAGCGCTATATGTATTTCGGCCTTGTACAATTTTCCAAGCTATGGTCTAAAAATCCAAATTGCTTTTCTTGTAGAGGGTTAGACGTGAAATAAATAAACGGTTAACTCCTAGGGATTGCTATGAAAAAAGTGCATAATCCGACTAAACCAATTTGAAAGAGTAAAGGCTCATAAACTATCATTGTTGTCCACACTTTGACCCCTGATTTATTTTCTGTTCCCGACTGGCCCTTGAACAATTAAAAGTGTATAGTTTAAGAATTTCTAGCCATTTTAAACTGTTTAGTCGGAATCAGAGGCCATTTTTGTCCAACCTTAACCAAAAGTATTGAGAACTCAATAAAAAGTATTGAGATCACAAAGGTCCTGAAAGAGAGAAAGCCCTTCATTTTTCATAAGCTCATCATCAGATTTCTCTACAAAATTCTCAAATTCATTGAAATTTCTCTACAAAATTCTCAAATTCATTGAAATCACATCTCAGTGACCAAAGTTTCAATGAATTTGAGAATTTTGTAGAGAAATCTGATGAAGAGTTTAAGAAAAATGAAGGGTTTTCTCTTCTTAGAATTTCTACTCCTACACTCGATACTTTTGATTAATGTTGGACAAAAATGCCCTTGAGTTCTGACCGGACTTGTGTCTAAGATGGTCAGAAGTCCCTAAACCATATACTTTTAATTGTTCAGGGGTTAGTTAGAGACAAAAAAATAAATAAGAGGTCAAAAGTGGTTACCGATAATAGTTTAGGGATGAGCTAATAGTTTAGGGACAATAGTTTACTCCAATTTGAAATTAGCTAATGCTGAGGATGCGCAATATGGTCAAACACAATAATACGTCTTTAAATCGGATAGCTACTTGGTTCTTTGTGGGTCCAGTTCATCCGGTTCTCTAGCAACAAAAAGCAAAATATTTCAACTTCACTAAAAAAGTGAAGAACACGGAGTATCGGTTCTAATAAAATGCGAGGCATAGTTTTCTACAACCTCCTTTCATGTAAGACCGAGCCATGTACACGAATCAAGGAACAGAAGAATACTCTTTTCTTAAACAAAAAATTTTAATAGGAAAATAGTAGAATTTAAGAAATGAGGAGGAGTAATAGAATACTCAAAGGCAAATTTGTGGTGTAAATAAATGCCATTACTTATATTAAGAGACATTGTAAAATTGTATCAATCTAATAATATGAATAATTTAGTCATAATTGTGATTGAAGGAATTTAAATTATAACAAGAAATGTGTCAAAGTTTTAACCATTGAAGAATAATTGACTTGTAGCTTTCTTACATTAATTAGAATTTTCAAGATTTTTCTTTGTGGATTCGACCTTATTCAACTTGGAGAAGATTCAAGTGCTTTGTCTACCACCACAGGGCATAGGGCCACTAAACAAATTGAATTGTTTGCAAATTCAACTCATATACGTTTGAGTTCAACTCATTGTTTAACTAAACGGGTTGAGTTTAAATACAAAATTATGCTATTTTATTAAATAAGATGAGCTCGATTTGATTTTGCAAATAAGTTGATTTGGACTTGTTTATACATTTGTCAGAGCAAGAATAATGATGCAGATTAAATGACTTAAATTAAAAAGATATGAGATATAGTTGTTCTTTTCTTCATAATAGATGTAAAACCTTTATCTTGAATTTCTCGGAGATTGTGTATACTTACTTGCTTTGATTTATTTAGAATTTTGCATAGACTTTTTGCTTATAAGAGAGATTTCGTGTTCTACCCCAAAAAAAGAGAGGTATCTGAGTACTTTCTTTTAGGGTTAGGGGCATTATAAGTTGTAATTTGTATCTTAATATATTTAGTGTAAATTAATACAATTTTAGTATTTAGTTATATGAGTTGACAATTTTGACTTTATACCCATACATATTGTATGTGTTTATGCCACAAGATAAATTTTAAAAATTGCACAAACCGATTTAAACCGGACATTACTCAACGCAGGCTGCTGATCGTTTCTTGTGACAGGCCGGTCTAACCAAGCCGACCCATGAATCCGGTC